ATTCTCCCTCTGCCCAAGGCCCCGGCATCTACGTCACAGCTCTCCGCCGCAAAGCTGACCTGCCGGACACTGTCAGGTTACCGAAACCCACCGAAGAGTCGTCAGCCTCTTCGCCGAGGAGGTGCCGGAAAGCCAGCTGTCGCCCTACCGCTTGCGCCAGGTACTGCCCAGCGATGTCACCTTGAGCCGCCCATGTGACGAGGACAGCGGCAAGAGGATACTGGATCCTTCCGCGTCGGTTAAGAGTTAAGACTAGACACCGAAGATCACCGCATCCCGCAGGTTCTTGCCATGCGAACCAAAGCCGTAGAGAACCTCCAGCGAGATGCCGGCGGTTGCCCGTTCCACGGCCGCCGTCGAGCTGGGATCTATGGACGGCCGGCGCGGCCCGTCCACATCCGGACGCTGCATGGTCCATCACGGAGCAACCTACGCTCTATCATGCACCTTTAACCTTAGCTCACAGTGCTACACCCGGGACTGCCTCATTCAAGCTGGCAACAAATGTTGGGATCTGGTCAAAGAAAGCAGGAACGTCATTTGCCTTGTGATGACTCGCTACAATTGTTAAGAACTATACTTCACACGACGGAAACCAGCGGCGAAGATGGCGAAAGTGCGATTCGGCCTCTTCTGAACGGCATTCTGTGACATTCTGCGATCTGCTGTGACGTGGTTCCCACTCAGCACCCATCAGGTGAGTCCAGGCCACAGGTGCACAAAAGAACTCCGTCGACCATGCCCGAAATTCCGCTTCCAAGACTTGACAGACTTGTTTGCGCGGCAGACCCTCCGTCCGGGTGCAACCGCAAGTTTCGTAGAATAGCCAAGACAAGGGCATTTGGTTTAGAGCCACTTTCCACGATCTGGATGCACACAAGACGGCACTCGGGTTCCCCCGTCTGATTTCAGAGAAACGAGAGCCGCCACTTGGACCGTCGTGTCACAAGTCTTGTGGGTCCTTCCCATCGCTGGTGGTGGGAACGGCCACGATGCTGGATCAGGTTGGAGAAGCTCAGGCAGCTCCAATCGGATCAGCTTCCCAAGCATCAAGCACTCCCCTCAACCTGGCAAAACGAGGCAAAGGTCCGCAAACTCTAAGGCATCTGTGAATGAACTTGCTTTATGGGTATTGAAAAAGGAAGAAGGGAAAGAGACGAGGGTAAGCAACCCATGATAGCGGCGAAGAACACATTATTGAAAAACTCAGACCTTCCCAGCGAGAGGCCTCGGCCTCGATGTTGGGTCCAGGGAGTCTGACCTGAGTTCGTGGTGTGATCGTCATGAGTGCGGTAAGACCCGAAGAGAAGGGAAGCTCGCAAGCAACAGTGCTGTGGAATAGCTCTCAAAGTGGTTTCCGCATGACCCAAGTTGCGAGCTGCCTGCCCTGCGTCGCAAATTCTTCACGAAGTACCGATGAAAGCACGGCATCTCCCGGCATGGACTTTGTGCAAAACAGCACTGCGAATCCTTGACAGAGTGCTTGCAAAGTCCAGCTTTGAGGGTTGCACTGGCATAGCACCAACAGCCAGCAAGTCAGCTGCAGAAGCTGCTGGCGGGCCCTCGCCCTTGGACTTACCAAAGCATTCGCAGTACGCTCTGATGGTCGGTTGGTGGGGTGGGGATGTTGCTGCAATTTGGAGCAGGTATGATGCGGCCGCGGTGCCCAGCGTGGGGGCAAACTGCCTGCCGGCCGCATCTGCCACTCTTCACCTCACAAAGTTCGAACCTACCGTTCAGGCATCAGGTGCTCCATCTTGCTACTCCCACATACAGACACCTTAGACTGTGCTTCAGTGACCACAGCCGAGCAGAAATCGAAGGATCCAACAAAGTCGAAAGCAAAGACTGAGGACTGAGGCTGTACACGTCCAGCGAGATGGTGGCCTGGTCACGTCGAAGTGTGGCTCCAGCCCTTTAAAGACGGCGGTGAATGTGACTGGATCTTCACCGTCCTTGTATGCCATCGGATCTATTCTTTTCATGATGCCCTTCAACTGATTGAGCCTCAGCTGCCGGATAACCCAAGCGACTTCACATCTCAAGACGAAGCTGGGGGCAGCACGGGCCACACTCGTAGAACTCGCCAAGGCCGTCCTGTGTGCTGATGCCAACTCCGGCGTCCCACATAACTTCACATGATCTGCTTCATCAGGTGGAGCAGCCTTGATCATGCCCAGCACCGAGTCAATCCAGTTTGCTGGCTGCGTCAGCCTGACAGACGGAGCACAACAAAAAGGACGATCAGGGCATCAGCAAAGGAGGACTAGCACTTTGATCCACTCTGCGGCTAGTCGTTCGTAGTTGCTGCTCAAGCAACTGATCCGCCAAGAGGGCAGACCAATTGGGAGAGCTGCCGGCTGCAACCTCGCAGACTTCTCTCGAAACGTTCAGCGAGTGCAGAAGCGGAAGCTCCAGAAGACGCCTTCGTGCCGCAACTCAGGTACACGTCGATCCTGTGCCGGCACGAAGGTTACAAGAGCCGACTGTGGGGTCCAGATGAAGCCTCGGGGATTGCAGACTCCCTGCGAGGCTTTGGAGGAAGTCGAACCTCGGAGTTTCTGTCGGACCGGAAGGAGGGGAAGTAAAGTGCACAAAGAGGTGTAGCTGCCTCCGAGCACCTGGCATCTGCATCCTGGCCTCCGCCATCATCGGCGTATGACAAGCCCCTGCCCCGGCCTTCAAGCACTCTGCATGACTGCAACATGCCTGCAGCATGCAGGGAGCTGGGCTCTCCGACCATCTTCACTGGCTGCACCTTCGCAGTTTGGCGACGATCTCTGATGAACTCTGATGCCCTAAACCCCACACCACGCTGCCACGCTGGCACGCCTGCTTGCAGCCCCTGGTGCTCCGTGCACGCTGGAGCAGACGCTCAACAGCTGCATCAGAGCCAGCGCAAAGAAAACCTGCGAAGCAAACGCAAAGACGTTGCATCGGCCCGGGGCAAGCCCCGACATGCAACAACTCCCCAGAAATCGCCCGCCGTCGGCGAAGAGTCGCTGCGATATTTCGCAAACCTCGCCAGTCCTGAGTAGAATGGGAACTGCCACGGCAAAAAAGCAGTCAGCATCCTCGCACAGCTTCGCAAGTCTCGCCATCTTGCTGAGATGCTTCCTGCATTCGATGCAGAGGCCTTCCACCGTCTCCTGACAGACTCTTGCCGCTCGCGTGATAGAAAACGAGACGTGGCCCGGCGGAGTCCTGACTCAGGCCGGCCACGGCTAAAGCTGCTTGGGGACTCTCCAGCATCGCAGCCTCAGAGCTGGCGGAAACAACGGCAGCAGCGCTGACCGCGGGAAAGGGGGGCCGGGGGTTTTGGGGGCCTCCATGAGCTCTCCTCGGAGCTGCACAGCTCGCAGGCCGGTCTCGAAGTCCCAAACCCCGGCAAAGGTCAGCGCGGCCTCAGGGCTCCGAGAGACTTCACGCTTCTCTTGTTCGCTTCGATTTCGCTGCCGAGGCGCAAAGTCTCCCAGCGAGAGCCCGGCGACGGCCTTGCAGCGCTCCAAGGCCGCGGGCCTCTTGTCCTCCGCACCGCAGCAGCGCGGCTCGGAGCCAGCGGGTTTGTACACGGCGGGTCCCGAAGCTTCTCAACAGCCGCGAGCTGGGTGATGTACATCACTGGCTGGCCTCAACGGCTCTAGCGGCGTTTGCAGCTGGGTGTCAGACTGTGTTGGACACTGTCACGCTGACGCCGTGGCAGTACTGAGTGTGCTCCAGCCAGCCTCGTACCAAGGTGCTCACACCACGCCTCCCGACTGCCCAACTACTCAACTTCACCTTCCACAAAATCTGTGCCTTCAGGGCCGCGGAGGAGCTCGTAGAAGCCCTGGAAGCCCGGGCCCTCGAGCGGGTCGAACTCGAGCACCGCCCGCGCCGCCTCGCGCAGACGCCGTGCTCCCGGAAGCTCCTCGGAGGAAGCGAGAGAAGACGCGAAGTCCTCAAAGCTCGTGGAGTCTCCTGCAAGCCCCTCAGCATCTTCAAGCTCTTGGAGTTCTGATCCGGGAACAGCAAGGCCATCGGACAGCTGGCCTTTCACCCAAAGCTGTCTACGGGGGAACCCTCGCTTCAAACAACCACCCCCGCGCCCCCCCGAGCGCCTCCGCCTTGGTCTTGAAATTGATTTTCACACCCATGTTAGCTGCGGCAATCTCTGCAGCAGCCTTTCCCAAAGCCACCTGGGGGACAGGGCCGTCCTTGTAGGGAGCAACAAGAACCGCAGGAACCCTAAGGGACAGCTTTGCCTCGGTATCTTGCGGAAGCCCCTCGAGTTCCCTGGATCGAGCTTTGCGCTGGGCTTTCGCTGCCACGAAAGCTGGGGCTTGCTGAATCGCGTCCATGGCAAACTCGGTGTATGCCTCTCGCTCCCTGAGCTTTTGCCGGCGCTCCGGAAGGCTGAGCTTTGCCAATTCCCTCGCTTGCTGCTCGAGCTTCAGACGTCGGGCTTCCTTTTGTAGCTGCCTCTGCTCCTCCTCGGCCTGCTTTTCAGCCAGAAATCTCAAATTAGCCTCTGTCTGTTCCTGAACTTCTTTGGCTGCCTCTTGCACCAAAGAAACAAAGGTGAGGTCATTCCAGGGATCCAAAGGCGCATCATGGACTGTCTCGACCGACAGCAATGTCTCCGTCTTCATTTTGGGAGGAGAGTCGATGTCAATGTCAGCATCGGCAGGATCACCAAAGGGATCCCAACCAGTCTCCATTGCCGCTGGCTAGGTGCCTACTTCCTACAAGTGTGTGGACGGTGATGCCCAAAGTCACATCATGGACTGCTTCAGTTGCGTGGGTCTTTCACTCCTCCACGGTCCATACGCACTAGCAGTCATTAGCTGTTGACAAGCAGTCGCACTACGCAACTTCATAAAACCCCGAGACTTGAGCCGACGATCCGGACAACAGACCAGTTCGCTTTCATGCCAGCTACAGGCATGATTGCAAGGCCAGCGGCTCATGGCCGGGTCAGGACGTTCAATGAAACGAGACACGCAATCGAATGCATCTTTTCATGGGAAGTGGTCCCGGAACCACTTCTGCAGTATCCTCTTGTGCCCAAGCTTGGTTACACCAGCTGCCAGAAAGAACTTCCCATCCAAACAGCCATCATGAAAATAGACATCATGGATTTGCTTTAATGAATCGAAATTTGCGACAATCTGATCGTAATACTGAAGCAGAAACCCAGCGTCGTCGACTGACTCTAACCAATCCTGAATCGGCTGCAGCAGGAGTGGGTTGGTCTCCTCCAGAACGACCTCTTCTGGCTGGCTCGGTGCTGCACCAAGATCAGCAGCATCAGTGGCGCGGTAGCCTCCAATCGTCCCGTCCCTGCACACGTCCACAGCCGCTTCCTGCAGCGGTTGCTGCAGCGGTTGCTGCAGTTTTATGGGGCTCCCCGAAGCCGCCAGGCAGCTCGCGTGAGGCTGCTCGCGGCTTCCCTCGGCCGGAGCCTCGGCCAACAGCTCGCAAATCCATTTGGGCAAAGGCCGAGGCTGAAAGCTCGCAGGCTTGGGATCACAGGGCTTCCCCCGGCCCGAAATTTTCCAGGATGTGCAGTGGATTCCATGATCCAGGTAGTGCTTCTTAACATACTGGGAGAAGTTGGACCAATCCGCCACGCGCACCTGGTCCTGCTCCGAGCGCCGCCGCATCTGATCCGTTTGCCAGGCTAAGCGGCGCAGCTCCTCGGGCGCTTCGGGTGCTTCTGGCAACGAGGACCTGCAGGGAAATCGAGCCGGATAGCGATTGGGGAAGCTCGCTTCTGGTAACTCCGAGACCTCCAGCTGAAAAGAATACGAAGCTTGGGCAGTCGGTGGCGTGGACAAACTGATGACGTCTCCATGCTGCAAGCCTCTCGGTCGGCCAACGTCAAGAGTGTCACACGTCGCATTTGTCCCACTGGACTGCACTCGCACTTGCCATCTGGGGGTCAAGGCTTCCAAGCTCCACCTCTGCCTCGTTCTGACGATCCGACACAATCGCTCAGGAAAACTCGCATCCAGTTGCACGTGGGTGTCCGCGCCAGAACCCACGTACATTACAGGAGGCGGCTCATTCCTGGTTTTCTCGCAATCTTCGCAGAAGTATACCTCGGGCAGCCGGGAGTCTCCGCATGGTGGATGTATCCAGCAACCATCCAACGGCGGATAGCCTGGCCGGTCATACCAAGCATCATCTTCCCAAGATGATACAGCAGCGTTGCACGGCAACAATTTCATGCTATGGCCTGGGCAGCTGCATTAACGGCAGTGCAGGGCCAGAAAAGCTTCAGCTAGAAAGGTGGTAGCAAGCTGAAGGTTTCAAGATGGCAGCCTGCTGACCCTGTGGAGGCCCTACTCTCAAGCAAATGGCTATCTGCACAGCAGAGCAGGTCGAGAGCCTGATCGGGATAGACACCAAGCAACTGCAACAAGCGGAAGCTAGTCCTCACGCTCAAGGCTGATCAGACGCAGAACTTGTGCAGAGCCCATGTCACCATGTGGATTTGCAGCGACCTTACCTTACCCGTAACAGCAGCCCTATGCTGATGAATTTGTTGTCTTCTATGCTGCTAACATGTACAAAGTCTTTCCACCATCAGACAGTCATCCTGCATGCTGATCAGGTCCAACATCACACGCGATGGCACAGCATTGTGGACCATTCGGCTGAAGGCCGGGCACCTGCCACAGAAGGCACGGCCGGTGACTTTATGTCTCATCTCACTTCTTCGATGAGCATGGCTGGAGGCCACCTGCACGGCAGCTGGGATCTCACGAAAACAGGGTATGAAGATGCATGAATGCAGCGTGTGACGTGACGTGACCAGTTCAGGTGCCTCCTGCTTGCACTGGCCCTGGCGATCGCAAGCAGGCCTTTCAAGGGTCGAGCTCCTTCTGTGTGCTCGGCAGCTCCACCCGAACCCGAACTGGCCTGCTTCTTGCTTGCCTTGTGCTCCGACGTTCAGACTTTGGTGGCTTTGGTCGACCTTGGAGCCTCGCATGAAATCCTGGTACTCGTTGAGCCCAGACTCCTCGACGGCCTCCGTCTCTGCATGAGAAATCGCCTTGGACGACCTCCAGCATTGAGCCCATGCCACCACAAGGCTAGTCGCCAAAGACTGTGCCAAGTGGCGGCGTCTCGGAGTGCCACCTGTCCTTGGCCTTAAAGTACTGCTGTTTAAGCCTTCTCAGAAAACAACGGCCGTCGGCTGCCAGACCTCAGTCTGCCTGTGTAAGTGGTGCCCGCATGCAGCATCTCTCAAAAGACCGTGGCGGCTTCCAACAGCTCCTGTTGCCCAAAGGTCCATGCCGCGCATCGCAGCAGACGTCCCAGTTCAAAATCCACGTGGGAGCCCAGCATTCTGCCCATCCCTGCCGTGCGAAGCCTGAAGGACTCGAAGGTGGTGGAGATTGCGGCTTCAGCTGGCACTGGGAGATGCGCTCAGAAAGGTGCAGGGCACGTCGGTCGAGCTCCTGCAAGACAGAGACATCTGCGGACATGTCCAACTGCGCAGGCTGTCATTCAACCCCTGGCTGCTGAAGAACGCGGGGAAATCACAAACAAGATCTTGACGCTTGGTCGTGGAATCGTGGATTCGTTGGTACTGATGTGTTTGCTCGTTTGGAAGCCTCTCTTGCATCCAACACTGTGCCATACTCTGCACCTTATGGCTACGGCAAGCTGTTGAATCCAAGCCTGAAGCTTGTCTTTCTGCCCTGCGGAGCTGCTGTGATGTTGCATGGACAGCCCTCCAACAAGACAAAAACAGTTTGCGGGAAGTTTTACAGAAAGACCACCCTGCGATGGACCCCCGGCCGCCCCCCCTGCTAGACAACTGCGCGGCTTGCGCAGAGGTCATCCGTTGCAAACTGACACTGCAAGGTTTCTGCGCCTGAAGGTTCTCGCCTCGAAATGTCTTCGGCAAGGCAACTTTCTCGCTAGACAACCAGCTCCAGCCAGTTCGGCACATGCGTGCGTGGCCAGGCCAAGGCAGGCGACGCGAAGCCCGCCAGCGCTCCTTCTGTGCCTGCCCAACCCCCTCCTTATCCCCTCCCTCCGGTACTCCCGCCCTCCAGCCTGTTTCTGCGATTCTTGTTTATTGTCTTAGATTTTTGGCTTTCCTTTCACTTTACTTTATTCCTTTCTTGCACTCCAGCTGCACTAGCTGAAAGTATTCGTTGTCCAGAGTCTTACAACCACTTCGACACACATGACAGTCTTTCTCTTCCCGTTTGTCGCCCCACAACTCAGGAAACGGTCTCTCTCAACTGGTCCCTAGTGGCTACAATGTCAGCTTTTCGGTTGGTGAACCTGTGCCGCTCGCACTGCTTGCTGACCCTTCGATGCCATGGCATCCGAGCTTCACGCTTGCATCAGGCTGCGCTTTCTCCCTATACTCTGCGGGTTTAGGGTTTCGGGTTTAAGGTTTCAGCTTTCGGGTTTGGGGTTTGGAGTTTCGGGTTTAAGACCTATGGGCCTTGGTAGGCTTTCGGTTTGCTGCTTTCCGAAGCAGTGCACTTGCTGCAAGCACAGCCGGGCCGAGGCGGACGACGCGAAGCGTTTAAAATCATAATCGGGCTGTTCTCATCACAGGGAACCGTTTCAGCAATCTTTACGATAAAAAGTACTATTGCAGTGCAAGCTTGGAGAAACACTTCTGTGGATTTTGAGAGCAGGCTCTGCAGGCAGAGTCCTCCAAAACAGGTAGCAATGGGATGGCCACACGCCCCGGGCTGCCGATCACAAGGTCACCCCTCCTAAGCAACTGCCGGCAAACACATCATACGGACTCCTCTAATCTGACTCACAAATACTGACCAACAAGGACCTTAAACATCATGTTCTAAAGGGGCCAGGCCTCAGTGCATCCAAAACTCGCACGCTCATTGGGTGGGATGCATCAGACAACTGCTGGAGCTTCGACAAGCCGTCCACCCAGTCACACGTGTCAATGATTTGGCGGAATTGATCTACCCGCATCTTCTCAAAGTCCTCAGAGACTGTATCCAGTGCTGATTCTCCTTCAAGTTGAAAGCATCGATCCTCAGTATGGAGGACTACTTCCTCTGATTGAATGCACCTGCTAGCATGATCCAGCGGCAGCAGACGCACATTACGTCGACACTCTGAGACAATGCAGGCTAAGCACGTTGTCCATCATGATCAGCCATCCTTGACCCTGATCAAGGTCTGCATAGAAGTGGCTGTGTGTGCTCTTGCCACAACGACAGAGATAGCTGAACACTGCGTAGTCATAGAAGTTCAGGAAACGACTGCGGCCATCCGTCAGGAGAAACCATCCCTCGTCAGCATGGCTGCGCAAGAGCGGCCTCACCCGATCGCTCCACGCCACCGCTGCTCCATCAATCTCTATCCGGGGCAGGATCCGCGACAGCCTGACAGACGAAGCGAAGTGGGTTTGTGATGTTTACGAACAGGGATGGATCCAGCCCTGGTATGTGTGCCCGGGCGGGACAAGTTGCGTCGAGCCCCTACCGTCTTCCAAGCTCTACATTCGCCAAAGACCTTCTCCATCCCGCCGCCCTGCAAGCCAAGCTCTGCGGGCCTGCCTTGAGACACATCCCAACTTTAAGTGTAGCGAGCATTGCTCACACACATCGCGCACGCGCTGCATCACTTCATCAAGACTCATGGTGCGGCCCACAGCAGGCAGGGACGTCCACACCCCAAGCGCAACGTCCAAGGCATAGACGAGAATCTCTGGCCAGAAGCTCTCGTCATTGAAATCTCGGTTCTGGGAGTGCATGGCCTTCCTGGGCACGAGGGTTGTGGGCGAAGCAAGGCTCTCCGATGGATCCAAAATTATCAGAGGGATTTTGTGTTTTTCTCCGGTAATTCGTTTTGTCTGAAGGTGCGGAGCGGCGGAGGGAGCGGGGGAGCGGAAGGTGCAGGGGGTGCGGTGCGTGCGGTGCAGGGGGTGTGGTGCGGGGGGGTGCGGAGGCTGCGGAGGAGGGTGCAGGGAGCGTGTGGGGGGGGGGGGGGGGGGGGGGGGGGGGGGGGGGGGGGGGGGGGGGGGGGGGGGGGGGGGGGGGGGGGGGGGGGGGGGGGGGGGGGGGGGGGGGGGGGAGGAGAAGCAATTGGTTGGGCCAAATTCTGTTAAGCGCCTATGACACAGAGTACAAAGCAAAGGGGACAAAGCAAAAAGGAGAAAGCTGAAACCACCAAAAAAAAACACAAAGCAGCAAGCAAAGCAGGCAGCCAAAAGCCAAAAGTAAACAAAGCAGAAAACAACAATAACAAACAACAAGCACAGAAAGCAGCAACAAAAGACCGCTAAAACACACACAGATTTCATTCGCCCGCAGCGGGAGAGCACTTGGTGAGAGTCCTCGCTTGGTGAGTGATCGACACGGGTGCTCTACTTGACGTTCTGTTTCTGACGCGGCTGAAGTAGCGTTCACTCACTTCCGCTGCAGGCTGTGCAGTAGCCCTGCACCTGCATGCATCTCGCCTCTGAAGGCTGCAGATTACGGCAGCGAGTTTTGGTGAGGCAGTTTGCGCAAGTGGCTTGAACTAACACATTTTGGCTTGCAGGCTCGCTCTCGACTGTTTACCAACCGGATTGAGACCGTTCGACTACATCGATTCCGCCGGAGTTGGGGGGAAGTTTCTCACCACCATTTCTACATTGAAGGCAAGCTCGGCATAGTGACCCTAAGCGATGGAGCGATGGAGCTCAGGGTTAGGTTATTCGGCCGACGTCGCAGTTGAGGTTGGTGTCGACATTGCGGGAATTGCACCTCCTTCTTGATCTGTACTGATGGGGAGTATAGAAAGCAAAAGCAATAAAACCAAAAAAGCGAAAATGAAAGACTAAAGCAAAAGCCAAAGCAACAAGCCAGGAAAACAGCAAGGTGCAGAAAGTAAAAACTAAAGCGAAACGCAAGCAGCAACAAGCAAAGAATACAAGCAAGAGTACGAAGCAGCAGGCAGAAAGCAAAAAGCAAGACAAAAAAAGGAGTCAAGCAGAGCCACGCAGCAAGCAAAAAACAAAAGCAGCAGAAAGCACAAGCAACGAACAAAAAGACATCCCAAAAAAAAACAAAAGTATTCCCCAGACCAAAAAGATTCCCTTTCCGGCCTGCCCCGGCCTGCCTGGCTTCTCTAAGAAATCCCTGAATCTGTCTGCCACCCACGGTTCCAGTAAACTTTGCCAGCGTCCAGCTGCAGTGTCATGGCCAGGCCACAAGCTAAACCATGCCATGGCTGCCGTCGCTTGGCTTGGCCCTGCTGCACTTGCCCCGTCACTACACACTCCTCCAAACACCTCGAAACAATCACATGAACGCTCAACGAGACGCCCGAGGCTCCCATCGTGCGTGCAGGAAGGGCTTAGCACTCAATGTCGCCGATGCCAGGGCTTGCAATGCCACTCGCCAGGCATCAAGGCTGGCAATCTTCAGGCCCGTGGCTTGCTCCCAGAACTTGGCACTCGGCAGCTCATACGAGGTTTCTGAAGAAAGGGCAGTCCGGGCCAACCGGCTTGGGCAAGGCAGGCATGGCTTGCCAATCTCTGAGTTCAACACGTCCTGCGAGTCTACGCAAGCTCAGGGGTCTGAAGCGGCTCAACACTACCGATCTCGTCTTCTTAGCGAGGCAGCCAAGTAAGCAACATTGGGCAACAAGGTAGTGACGACGTCTACCTGAAAAGTTGCAGAATGCTTGACAGGAGGGCTGGCGAACAGGGAGAAACGCCTGGACATCTCGATCTCGGTCCTGTTCCAAAATCGGTGATGCGCCCTCGCCGTTGACCCAGTGAAGCAGATTGTATTCAAAATTGTGTAGCAAGCGAAGGCCACTCGCCTTCCAGGTTCCTCGGTAGACGCGCTTGGGCACCGAATAGGAATCCCCACGGCGCAGGCCAACACCTTACAGCAGGGGGGTACCGCAATGCACCGGCACACACTTCACTGGAAAAGATGGTGTGACCGATTGCATAGTGCAACTTTGACACTGTTCAATGTGAAGGTGGAGTTTCGGATCTCGACTGCGACATCTCCAAAGCCGACCTCCAGACCTTGTTCACAACCCTCGATGTATGCATTCACAACCAGCACTTGGCTGTGCAACAGCTTCGGGTAGCGTATCCGAGACCTGGCCAGCCACAGAGGCGAGGACAAAGCCATGCCCTCATGATGCCAGCGCCGGATCTCCTTGGTAACCAGGTGCTGCAATCCACAAGACATGCCTGAAAGGGTGCCAATTCCGAAGTGCCCTGGTCTAGGAAAGGATGCCTTAACAAGCATCGACACCATACAGGCAGAAGAGGTCAAAACAAAAGTAAGAGGATGCGTTCTTAAGCTGTCTCGACACTGTCGTGCCTCGCGGCATGGGTTTGCTCGTGCTGTGCAAGCTACATGCCCGCTCAACGCCAAGCTGCTTATGGAGGGATTTCCCTGCGCCCCAGCCTGCAGCTAAGGCTCTACATCTCGGATCTCCAGTAAACCTCCGCAGAAATCAATGGCATCGTCATTTCCTCTGATAAAGACGGAAGACTCAATCAAGCTCACGGGCCAAGAGTTGGCATCAAGGGAGCTGTGCAAGGCTCCAAAGCTTCTATCTGGCAATGAGGCCCACCAGGGCCCCTCCTCGATGTTGTCAGGACGGACGTTGAGATATAGGCCGTCGTTGTCATCCTCGCCAAGCTCTCTTGAAGCACCCGGCAACTCCAGCACATGCATAAACCTGAAGGTCACCAAACTGTCGAAATGCTCCCCACCAGTATCTACTCGTGAAATCAGGGAATCGGACATGAAGACCAGGGACTCACGTGATCCGGCAGCTTTGCCAAGGCAGTCGATAATTGCCGATGAAGCCACCGAGAGAATGCCACCCTCCGCGTAGAGGACGGGTTCCGAGTTCGAGTGACCGTGCAGATACTCTGGATTACCGGTGAGACCACCCTGAGATACAACGGTGTGTTGTAGCAGCACTGTGCCACCCGTGCAGCGGATCGACCCCCAGCTTCCGGCACCTTTATCAGCAGAGAACAGAACCGGATCCTCCTCACGGCCAACACTCCTCAATGCCCCCTCCACAAAAATGGACACTGCTTCTGCGAGCAGGACCACTGTCCCAGGCACAATGTGAAGCGTTGCCCCACTCAACACATGTACATCAGATCAGATGTTATTCGTACTACTCCAGGGCCCCAGAGCGAAAATTCCTCCGAGATTGCACCCTCGTAACTGTCTGCGTGTTCGGTCAGGTTGATATGAAGCGTAGCAAGACACACGGTGGGACTGAGCACAGAGAGTCTCGCCGGCGACCTCTGAGGTCAAGGGAACACGACCCGCGGCCCCTGTAAACCGTGACGTCGCACTCTGCAGTGCCTCGTGCAAGTCGCAAAAAAACCTTCACGTACCGTTCTCCTGATGGTGGTCCACTTGCACTTTGCTTCTCGCGCGGGACTTCCACCAGAACAGGTAGGAACTGCAGTGCCTCACTGATCCTCCGCGGCACACGGATCAAAGCTGGGGTGCAGGAGTCAGCATTCCTCAGGGAAGTTGGAGATGCGGAACCCTGCAAATTCTCTGCGGTAAGCCTCCTGTGGTATTTCTGCTTGAAATCCAGCAAGCTCGCGCTGTGCGGGAAGAGGCTCTGCAGGAGCTGGCGCAGCGACTTGGCTAGTTCCGAGGCTGATGGCCTTGGCAGGGACCAAGAAGACCCAGCAGAAGCCCAGCCAAGCTGTGGCCGCCTGAAGAAAACTGATTGTGGAGGATCCGCTTGAAACCCGTCATGGCGCTCAACGCAGGGAAGCTCCAGCGTGCACGCCGCCTTGGCTTGATGTAGCTTTCCTCAAAAAGCTGGAACGAAACGTTGCTGCTACGCCATCGAACTGGGAGCGGTTGCATTCCGAGTTGTGTGAGAAACAACTGACCCAATGAAAAAAGGTCCCTTTCCACAGCAATACCGTAGCACTCCAAATCCTCGTGTGTCGTTCTCCAGTTGTATGTTGCGTAGAAGTCATCCATCTTCAAGACTGCTCGTGATGGGACACAGCGATTAGCTGCCCCTGACACCGGCCCATCCAGGTAGCGGTCTAGATTCGGGCTGGACGTGCCTTTCTCCTCACGGACTCTGGCCCCCATATTTGGGAGTATGATGGCCATGTCGAAATCGATCAGCATCAATGCGCCGGTTTCAAAGTTTACTAAGACATTCCGATCGATCAAGTCATTGTGCAGGACTGGCCCTATAGGGGAGTGATGAAGGTAAGCAATGGCCTCCGCAACTTTGATAGCGAAAACCAGAAATCGAATCTTGGCCTTCGTGCTTGTCTGCAAATCTAGAAGAACGGTCTTGGTCAACGGTCTGCATCCTACACACTGGCGCACAATGGTGCTGCCTAAAGCGCACTGGCAAAGTGGAGTGGCTAAAGAGGGATGGTTCAAGACCGATAGCAAAGACTGTTTGTATGTCATTGCGCTAACACCAGGGCTCGTCGTGATGCGCAGAAGAGGGGTGGTACTTGCTGCATCCAATATCAACTCCACGCGTTTAGTTGTGGATACCGCGCCCTGCAGAGGTTCACCTGGCGCGTGGCAAAAATGCCGGCATTCGTCGTCGGATGGCCGCCATGTCAAATCCGGGCTGTCTTCCTTTGCCCACTGAAGCTGGCAGCATGAAGCTCCGTTTAACCCCGATTGTGCATCACCATTCGGCCAAGCCCAGCACCGTAGATCAGGCTGGTGCATCTCGTCTACTGAACAGCAATTGTACAAGAAAGCGTCTTCCGAGCCCTACGTGGCCAGCGCGAATGTCCTACAGAACTCATCGAGAATTTGCAGTGCTTCCACAGCGTGTGCTGCGACGAACAATCCAAGATAGCACCACTTGCCATTGTAGCACGCCAACTGCATGGCGAGATATAGGAATGTAACTCTTTTGGAGTAACTCTTTTGGAGATCCACTTTCTGTGATCTTTTATTCGTCATGGGTTTTGTCAAGCTTTATGCACCGCTGGGGGATTCCACTGCTTCTAGGACTTCTTGGATGGATGCGCTTATCCTCTTCTCAGTCCGCCTGCAGCACGACTCGCTCAAAAGCAGTTGGCACGAGCTTCAGCACGTTAAAGGGTGATTGCACGAAGTATCGACACAGCTTCGCTTGGGACGAGCAAGTGCTCAGAAACATGCTAACTCTCATCATGGATGCTCGGGGGTGCTTCACGACCAACATGTCATGGCAATCCAATCAAGATCAGCTTTCGTGTATCCCGCACTATAAACCTGCAGCCTCAACATTTTCTCCGTCCTGTCACACAGGGAGCATGTCGCTGGCTGGGTCAGCCCATCACCTGATGGGGACGGGTCCAAAGCACTTCCATGTGCACGACGACTATCCCAAACCCTAAACCCACACCGACCCCAAAACCAGGTGCATACATGTACTGAGTTCGGAGATGCTGTCCACCGTTTTGTGCCAGGTGCGGCCTTCTGCGCACGAAGAAGGAGATGACCTTCGATGGCTTGCACTATCTTGCCTGTACATGAATGCATACATACATACATACACACATACCTACATACATGTCTCTATATATAAACCATGGAAGTATAGAATATGTATGTATATATATATATATATATATAGTTATACAGATGTATATGCCTATGTATTTGTACATTATCATGTATGCCTGTATGTGTACGTGTGCGTGCTGGTTGCAGACGCATTCGTAGGGGTAGGGTAGGTGTTGGGGTTAATGTATGTATGTATGTACCGACGCATGCGCGTATGTGCTTACATGCCTTCGTACAAACATGCATACATACCTACATACATACACGCGTACGCACATACGCACGTACGCATGTGCGTACACTCGTACATACGCACATCCGTATGTACCTACATCCGTACAGCCCGTACACCGGTACACCCACACATGCTTCAGTGTCCATACATACATACCGTCAAGATACATCGTCACCCTCGTGAAGCAAGCGCGAAGCTTCAGCCCCAATAGGCCCTAGAATGCGCGCACTGGTTCGTCCCAGAGTCCGAAAGTACAGATCACCACGTACGCGGAATCGGCGATGTCGAAGCAGTTCCTGGCAATGTGATCATCCAATCCTCATCGGCTGTGGGAAACCGAAAAATGCCAAGAAGAACAGACGAATCTGAACCAAACCTACTACATGTTTGCGTGCTTCTGTCAACACATGCACGGGATGGCTGAAGTGAAGTCTCTGCCTGGCGCCAGAAACCTATCCTCGGCACACAGCGTGTGACTCTGTGGGTTTCATCCTCTCAACACACTTCACACAGTGGGGCTTTGCAGTGATTCTCGGCTGCCCCTTCCCCACGACTGACACCATCTGAAAATCACCAGTTGTAAGATGGACGAAACCCATCCACCTCACAATAATTGCCGTCAAATTCTGCGAATTTGATCCACAGGGCATGGCTCCCCAATATTGCCTTTAGCTCACATGCCCACGGCAATGCCACTCCCCCTGCTGAGCAGCTTCTCATATCATATCAACGAGTATGTCAGACCACAAGCTTCATGGATGCGTCCTTCCGTCGCAGGTCATTCTCTTGGCTGTCCGGAGGTGCACTGGTTCGGAACTATGCATATGAGATGTCTTTGCGAGCCGGACGAAATTGATGTGCCCACACGCAAGAGCCAAGATGGAAGAGCAGCGACAAAGACCACGTATCCTGGGCCCTCGACCCGTGCCAACTGCTGAATAGACTACCGGCCTGCAGCCTGTACCTAAGGGGGATGCCAAGAAGACCTTCAAGCAGTTCATGTTTCCACCAGGTCAACTCCTTCGGAGTCGGACGTAATGGGTTCGGGTTCTTCCTTCGTGATTCGAACTCGTAAATGTGATATGTATGGCCACGCAACCGTGCGCGGCACTGTTTGGAATTTGGACTCGCTGTGGTGCATGTTCAAACGGTGTAGATTCGGTGCCTTGCCACACAGGGCAGCAGTAGTATTGATTAAAGCTTCACCTCTCCTCTTGGCTCCGCGCACCGAAGCTTTCCACTGGCTGTCTGCCGGCACATGCGCCCATTATCACCGCTGGGAGTACACGTCCAGGACATCGGCAAAGCTTAAGGCCTAAGCCATACCCACAGGTCTCTCTTTCAGCAGCAGGGTGGGCCGGGTGGGCTGCAAGAGTTCTTGAGCACCGCTTGGTGATGGAAGTCACGTCGGTCAATGACCGATCCGAAAAGGCCATGGGTGTACACCTTGGGCAGGAGAGCCTCACGAGATGAAAGTCTAACAGCAACCTCCGCGATTGGCCATTGGGGATGACGGCCTCACGTGCATTCATATGGCGGTGGTCTCCTATTTGGCGGTGGCGCGGCCCTCGTCCTTGAATGCTCCGAAAATTCTGGTGAGCATGTTGCCGGTGGTGAGGTGCAGGAGGCCCTGCTTATCCCATTTGCGTCAGAGGCACATCACCTCGCTCCATTTCTCAAGTGCAAAGTCGGCTTCGGGCGCAGGCCGAAGAACGAAGTTGCGCAATGTCTTTGCCAAGGAGCTCCGGATCAAGCTGCGAGGCTCGGTCCCAGGCCCAGGGCGATCCGACTAGCATCTAGGTCCTAGGTTGTGATAGGGCCTGAGCTCCTCCGGCCCACCTGCCTCGAGCTCGGAGCCACCCAGGCGGGCGCGCGCCTTCGAAGCCTGTGTCGTCGTGGAATGGCCTCCGCAACACTTCGGGCGGCACTGCGGAGAAAATTAAGCCCAAGCACCACCACAAAGAGCACAACGCCGAAATGCCTGGCCAGGCTA